ACGTGTTTCGATCACCAAGTGATCAATCATCTTCAAGAGGAAGATCAAACTGATCAGTTTGATCTTTCCCTTGAAGATGATCGCTTGGTGATCGAAACACGCGCCGAGGTGTTAAAATAACGATTTGGTGTTGGTGATAGAGTTCAAAAAAGCTTGAGCAAGAAACAAAATTGAAAAGTATGGAATTTAGGGGGCGAATAAAAAATAAAAAAGGACATTCAGATATTTGACAAAATAAAAGCCACAATTTTCTGTATCTGTTTATAGAAAATCTGTTTAAAATTTTTCCTTCAATCAGCTGTCGCCCCCATACGAACGATAACTCTCAGAAGTTGAGAAACTTGTGCGAGCTAAGGACTAACAAGGTCTTACCATTTAACGTGTGATTCCTAACACGGTGTATACCCTCCTTTACTAATTGGATCCTAAAAACTGTTTGCCTGTTTTAATGAATACAATCAGCAATACTCAAAAAACTAAAGGATGAAAAATGTGTTGACGAAAAATGAAAACTTCCAGCTCACACCTGAAAGATAGATCTCTTTATACTTCAAAATGAATATCCAATTATGCGACTCATATAAAGAATAAAAATACAACACTCAATGTTATTAAAACATAAAAATACAGAAATCTAAATCTAAAACTAAAATAATCCTGTGTGATATCAGACTGGAATAATAAAAATGAAACAGAACCCAAAAATGTATCAGTGAATCATAAAAGCATTAGAATTAACAACCCGGAAATTATAGTTGATCTCTTCAGTAACTTAAAAAATACTCCATTAAATTTGAAATACGAGATTTCCACTAGAAATGATTTGATCAATTACGTAAAGGAAACTAATGCGACCATTTCATTTCTTAGACCATTTGTATGTGGAGAATTGCAGGTATTGAATGGAACTGACCAATACTTGATGAAAATCCATATTAAAACTAATTAATACAGTTTATTGTATGATTTTCACTATAGAGGGTTTTACAAAAACCGGGACACGTGTTTCGCTATACAATATCTTTCTCAATCATAAATTAAAACTGCTCGAGAAAGTCATTGTATAGCGAAACAAACACGTGTCGCGGTTTTTGTAAAACCCTTTATAGTAAAAATCATACAATAAACTGTATTAATTAGTTTTAATATGGATTTTCATCAAGTATCGGCCAGTTGTTTGCAATTTGGATGTTTACGAATAATCTAATAGACTGATAACAGATTTCTACACATCTACTTCACATCTCGAGAGAGGGGCTTCTCACTGGCCATGACTCAGTCCGGCAGCTGTATCATTGAACCTCTTACATTTTTAGTTAACCTCTCTTTAAGAGTAACAAATTTTCAACCTGTCTAAAAACATAAAAAGAACCTGTCTTCAAAAAAAGGTAATCCAGAACGTCTGGAAAATTTAAAAGTCATTGCTAAATGTAACAGGTTTGGAAGGTCTTTGAATACTGCTATTTGGAGAGGATGATATTCACAATTTATCCAAGAATGCCGAATATTCCTTATAAAATCAACAATCCTAAGTAACTTTACTCATAATTTTAAGTTTATGACTAAATACAATAATGCCAGCTGTATAAAATTGCAGAAAATCACAGTAATTTCAAAAAAAAAAGTGTGACAATTCCCCGACTTTCGAGTACTAGGGACATAATTTCCAGACTTTTTAAAGTTCTACAGGTCACTGAATACCCTAAGGGTATATTGAGATTGATAAACATGAGAATGAATGAATTAAAATGAAAGGCNACAAGTTTCGACTTCTGAGGGTTGTCGGTCGTAGGGGTGCGATAGCTGGTTAACGGATAAAACAAACATATTTGTGAATGTAGGTACGTCACTTCAAAAAAATTCTGTTAATGAGTTCAATTTCTATTTATCAGTTCATTTTAGGATTCATTGAAAATTCTTAACATAACAGTTATAACTAGAGCATTTTTGTAATGGCTATTCACAAGTTTAGAAATATTATACATTCAAAAATTGGGTTTGAAAAACAAATAACAAAGAATTTAAACTTCACCAATCTCGAGTTTTTTTTTAGCAAATCACAATATGCTAGGGTCAAATGCTACAGATAAATGTAAAAAAAGATAAATATTCAGGTAGGTAAGTAACATTTTCGGTTTCAAGATGTTATCGAGTTTTTTTTTTCAAGAGTTAGAAAAATGTTTACAAGTGGTACAAGCTTTTCGCAGAAGATATAGAAGATATGAATGACGACGATTGACAACCAAAAAAACGTAGTTGCATGAGCATCGCTTAGGAATTGAATATTACTGGAGTTTTTTCCCAACACCAAATCGTTATTTTTAACACCTCGACACGTGTTTCGATCACCAAGTGATCATCTTCAAAGAGTTTTAATCTTCCTCTTTGAAGATGATCACTTGGTGATCGAAACACGTGTCGAGGTGTTAAAAATAACGATTTGGTGTTGGG